AGATAAACCATAATGCAGTGAAACATAATTTACCTTAATCGTCAGTGGTGATACCCTATTGCTCCTCAGCTCCCTCTGAATTTCACAAATTAATCACTGTATTGAGAGGTTTTACTGAATGCCTGAATGATGGAATTCCTAAGTATACTACTAAAATCACCTGTCTGCTTTCTTGCCTTTTCCTACTCAAGCCTTCCACTGACCAAATTAGGAATATTGCTCCAGCAGCACTGAGTATGTTGTGCCACCAGTGAGCAGCTTTAGCAAAATAATCAGTGCTACAGCTGATGGCTTTTCTACTTCTCCGCTGAAAAAAATTGTTTCCAACAAAAAACTCGCACTAGCTGTATCAGCTAGCAGAGCAGCTAGAAGAGAGTAGCTTATGTAAGCACTACGCACCAGCGGAGTGAAGGTAACCAGCTGGGGTCACGCTTGCTCTGAAACTCAGTCCCATGTGGAAGATGCCCCGGTGAGGACTTAACACCTCTGCAGCATCTACTTTCCCTGGTGCGCACTGATAAGGGTGTGCTGCAAGGCATAGCCCAATGAGACAGGCAACATAGAAGCTGTGAAAGTGGCTTAAATAGAAGCGTTGGAGACTGACCCTACCCTCTGTGTTTGACAAGACTTGACTTCTTTGTGCTGACAGGCTGCTCGTTGTAACCCTTCCTCCTGTGTTTTCCTGCAGCCTCCTGACCTTAGCCGCAAGACTTACTTGCACATCATCGTCTCACCAGTCCTCTCTCTGCCTCTCTTTAACTGCAAAAAAAATTGTGCTGCTCTCAGGTATCACCACAGCCTTATCTTCATACAGCCAACCCAAGTGGGACTGCAAACTGGATCGCGTTCAGGGAAGGACTATTTATTATTCTGTGTTACCACAACTGCTTCTCTACAGAGATCCCGCTGTCGCTGTTTCCTAGGCACTGCTGTCATAAGTAGGATTAATACTGATTAGATGACCAACAGAATAATCGGTTGCTGTTTACATATTTGTCATCTGAGGCGTACAAAATGCAAAAGCTCTCTGCACTTCCATAATTTCATATGTGCTTTGGAGAGGCTAGCAATGATTTTGGGTAAGGATTGATGGGAAAAGAGCCCAAGCAAACATCTACACAAATACTGTAGGGTCCTTCAGAAGAGGGTTTTCATTGCTGCTATTGTTACAGCATGTGTAATGTTCCCAGAGCTTTTCTCGTAAGTGAATGACTACAAACATGTAGCTATACATTTTTAAAGCAAACTGCATCATTTCAGATAAATGACAAGTATAATACTTTCTAAAAGGCTCTCTTCACCATTATGGGCTCCAAAAAGTGATGTTAATCCTCTTTTAATAAGAAAACAACAAAATATGCAATTTCTGCCTCAGGCTACAGCCAACTTGCACTGCACCAATCCCTTAAAAAGACTGCAGAGGGGATCTTCATGTTGCATGAGTACATTCTACACCTGAAGAACAGCTGCAAAATACTTATATATTGTGTTCATCTCAGCTTCTGGCTAAGATTGCAGGCTAGCATGGAATACACTACTTCCTGATTAATCTGTCTGGTAAAGGCAGACATGATAAAGGTTTGTTCCTAGCTTTCACAGACTCACAGAATCACAGAATGTTAGAGACTGGAAGGGACCTCGAAAGATCATCTAGTCCAATCCCCCTGCCGGAGCAGGACACCTAGATCAGATCACACAGGAACGCATCCAGGTGGGCTTTGAATGTCTCCAGAGAAGGAGACTCCACAACCTCTCTGGGCAGCCTGTTCCAGTGCTCTGTCACCCTCATCGTGAAGAAGTTTTTTCTCATATTCAAGAGGAACCTCCTATGTTCCAGCTTGAACCCATTGCCCCTTGTCCTATCACTGGATGTCACTGGATGTCACAGAGAGCTTTCATAACACAAGTTACCTGTGGCAGGAAAGCAACATTTGAACATGTGCTGCATCTCTGTCTGTAACTGAAAAAATTGCAAATAGTATCTGTCTGAGTACCTAGAACACGAGACCACTTGAATGAAAAACACAAAAAGAGTTAAATAGTCAGCCTGAGATTTCCCAGTACTTATTATGATGATGCCATGGAACAATTAAGACAGGACTATCTGGCCATCACTGTCGATATGAAAGGGAAGAGGCTGATCTCCCCTTAGCAACCATGGGGGAACCTGATAGGGTGGGAAAGGCAATGGTAATGGCAGAACAACGCTGGCAGCTGTGCGAGTGTCTTTGCATGAGTATGATATCGTTCTGAAACCTGTCCGGCTGCAGATTAAAGTAATCTTAATTCCCAAAGTAACTTTACATCGTCTGGGGGAAATGACAAATATGGTTTTTTCTGCTATGGACGTAGTCTGCCATACTGTACATCAACAAAACAGGTCTCTCAATTGCAGGCACTGTCTGTCTCCAGGAGTCCAAATGGAATTGGGGGTGTCAGTCTTCTGTCCTGAATACTTGACATCAAATCACTGGAGGCAACGACTCTTACCCTATGCTGAATGTTCAGTCTTGAAGTTTCCTGCTTGTAAACAGGACATGATGTGGCAGAGAACACTTTTCTATTGGCACTAATTCTTCTCTTTTTCTTTCTTTTTTTTTTCTTTTTTTTTTTTTTTGGGACAGGAATCGAGCCCTGAAAGCATTGTGTATTGTCTTTTTTGTCACTTGCAATTTTGAGGGGAGCTGAGAAGAAACACTGGGATACCTGGCACAAGGGCTTGATATACTTATATACATATGTACATACACACACACATATATATGTATTACATAGATAGCTTGTGACTGTACCCTGCTCAGAATTCTATTTTGACACTACATATTGTCAGCTTTTGTGCCCATTGGACACTTTCATTCCTGGACCTAACTGGGGAGAAGAGAAGCTCTGTCACCTGTGGGCTCCTCCCTTCAGTCTCTTTTCTCCCAGTGGAGAGAACAGGGAAAGGAGAGTACAGCCTATGTACTTCTTCCTTGATATGTGTCAGCTCATGAAAGATGAAAACTATCTTATTTTAAATTGTGCTATCTGCTGAAAGAGATACAGATACCAAATGGGACGAAGTGAGTAGAAATCTGCCCATTACAGATCCAATCACATTGTGTAGTTTTTTGGGGGTTTTTTTGTGTGTGTTTGGGTGGAACAGGAGTAGGGGCTTCCTAGGGCTGGGACCAGTGTGTGCTCTCCCAGGGTGGGCAGAGCAGGGTCTTGTCAACCGAAACCTTCATCAGTGGGATGTGCCCTGGGAGCAGGGCGTCTGAGGCATCAGCCCATGAGTCAGGGTTGGGCCCTGCTCAGTGAGGTCCATGGGCTTCTTGTACACAAATTTGATAGAGGAGTTTGTAAAATATGAATATTTCATTTGTTTAAGAGGCACTATTACTAAGTTTGTTGTTTTTTTTTTTTTCCTGTCATCCTCCATGCTTTTGGGACACTGCAAGAAATGGCAATTAAAAGCTACTCACCTGGGCATGAGTGTTCTTCCTTGAAGAGGCAGTTATATTGGAATAAGAGCTGACAGATGAGGTGGTGTTCAAATCATCTGTGCTGAGGTTGTCAAGAGTGTCACTGAGGCCACTACTAACTGAGCTGCTGTCATCCCAGCTGCAGAGAAAGGAACACATCTACTTTACATACTGCACGTCAACAGGCAGAAAGCATCTCAAAACCAATAGATGCAATTACTTATTCTTCAAGTGGTTTACCAGAAAATTTTCAGTAGTATTTCCTAATGTACAATGAATATTAGTTTTCAGGCTTTTTAATGAATTATTCACTCACTGTCAAGTGGTTGCTCATTCAATTAATGAAAGACCCAGGTGCCTTTTAAAAAATTAACATCAGATCTAAACAAGCACTAGTGTAAGTCATTAAAACAGGTTGTTTCATGCTTCATTGCAATCACATTCAGTACACTGGCAGGGCAATTCATTAAACCTACTGGTACTGCTAGCCAAAGCATTATTAATAGCTTGGAGAAAACCTGATGGATTTCCAGGACACAGAAAAATAAAAGGAATATCTCTTCTGCAGCAAATCAACTGTCAGCAGGCAGACAGTATTTCCAAAAGTTTTATTTTCTTTTCTTCAGTCTTTGTCTAGTGGGTGCAATGTCATCAAAATAGGATTCTCTGACAATACAGTCACCAGAGGTGACAGAGAATATGTTGTACATCTCTCAGGAAAAACGGGCTGTCAACTCTTCTGCTTTGGGAGATTGAGGCAGAGGAAGCAAATGAGAGAAAGGCTACTCTTACAGAAATGTCATTTACCTACTCTCACAAAAGCCTTGCTTTTGCACAGAAGGGAGGTTCATCTGTGTTTCTCAGACCTTTCTCTACACAATTGCTTCTCCATGGTGTTACATTATGACTCTTCGCTTATTAGCATATAGGGCAGTATACTCCCAGTTTTTATGTGTCTCCACCCGTTAATTATTTTTTTGTTGTTTTTTTTTTGTTTGTTTGTTTGTTTTTGGTTTTTTTTTTGTTACTCCCAGGGCACAGAGTTTGAAAAATATTCACCTTATCACTTGCAGTGGAATTAAAGTGGAATTAATCTCCTATAGTTTTAGCTATATGAAAGTTAGGTATCTCATTTAAGCTACCTTATCTAGGTGCCCTCTCTAACCAATACAAAGAAGCAGGCTCCTCTAGGAGTTAATTCATCCTGGCTTAAAATGTCTCAGGTTTGTGGGATGAAGATGCCTCTTTATGTCTTTCCCTTTCCTAGAGTGGAGCAGGTTGATAAAGTCTGTTCTAGACACATAACTTCTGGAGAGACAAAGCTAGGTGACATGCTTATGCATTCTGTTAAAGTTCAAAACACAAGACAGAGTACATAATATCCTTGTTTTTCTGTAGTTTACATCATGAGCTGCAGTTTACAAAAAACCTAAAATTCAATCCCACAGTTGAGTTAAAGCTCAGTACTATTGCTACTCATCATTCAGAGCAAACAAGGAAAATATCTGTGAAAAACATAAATAATATCAAATGAGGTCAGGTTTGAGGAAAGATAGCATGCCCTCATTAAAAGATACTTTTAAAAAGGAAAAAAAATCATAAGCCATATCCAAAATGAGATATATTGGGACAAGCAACATGAACTTTTAATGTATGACATTCATCTCAATTAATAATTGACCATCAGTTTTCTGAGTTTACCCTAAGACCCTGGGGACCAAGATCAATGTTAATGCTGTTTCTCCATGTTTGTTTGTTATTTTATCCTATTGGGACTTAATTTCATGCTCATTTTTCTCTGTAAGAAGATTCACATTTTCTAAATTCTGAAATAGTTCAGCTAATTCACAAAAATAAATGTGTTCTCCACAGCTGAAGTTTTCAGGCAAAACCAACCATGATCATGTCTCCTTTCTATTGTGGCTTCTCTGTGGTGTTTCACACTCATCACACCTCACTCACTGGTGGATTATTAGTGGGTTCTGGGAACACTCACGGCAGTCTTGTAAGATATAGAGAAGATTATTTTAACACCTCCACTACTGACCTTTCAGAGTCATCACTATATTTGTCTGGATTTTTTTTCTTGTGTGATAGGTGCTCAAGACGTTTTTTAAACTTGAGGGCTTTCATACCCCTAAATTTCAGCCAATATTCAGTACACCTGTGAAAACCAGAAGCATCCAAAAAAAATCTTTCTTTCCTGTATATTTTTCTAAGGACTATTAGAGAAACCAATTCCCAGTTGACACAACGTTTTGTTCCAACTTTTTTAAAAGACATAGCAAAAATGGAAAACTCCAACAAAACTGACCATATCAGCCACCCTTTTGGCAATGAAGATCATTGTTCTGTGTTTATTTTAGTGCATTGTCCAGAGTTGTTTTAACTTGTTCATGCAGCTAAATCTTTTTTTTTTTTTTCAGCACTTGCTGTTTCCACCTTTTCAGCACTCTTTTCCCATGTCTAGTTAGTATAGTATTCTATCTATATAATAGAAGATAATATAATTTCAAGGCCAGGTTGGATGAAGCTTTGAGCAACCTGGTCTAGTGGAAGGTGTCCCTGCCCATGGCAGGGGGTTGGAATTCAATTATTTTTAAGGTCCCTTCCAACCCAAACCATTCTATGATTCTTCATTATATCCAGTAATATAATTATAGGATAATTAAGATGCCTTATTTCTAATTTGGAAAAAAAATTCTTGATGATTCATATTTATTTCTCCTTTAAATTAGCAGATGTATGATAAACAAATCTGGTAAAATTAGATGTGTGTGACCTTGAGATTGAAAACCCATTCTTGGGAGTCTGCAGCAAATTCTCACCACAATTTTTGTTCGTGTTCCTCCTACCCCGCATCAAGGCAATATTCACTGTCAAACTGCACTTAAGGGACTTAATATAGGCTTTTAATATACTGGTTAGGATTCATCTTTCATTTTATCTTTCATTTACTTTTCTCTTTTTCAAGCATCCTACAGTGTTTATGACAGCTTAGGTTACTACTGCTGCTTCCTAACACCGCGTCCATTTTTGAAACCTTATTTCAGCTACTTATAAGGATGGCAAAATCTGGTTTGTTTTTTTCTTGTTGGGTGTCAGGCTCAGGTAGATTTCTTTAAAAGAAAATGTCAGCAATTGCAGTTCAGCTACCTGGAAGACTGAAGATAAGAGAAAAAAGCCTTGTTTCGACAAGTTTTGTCAAACTTTTCTTTGAGAAACCCTTGGATCCCAAGAGGAACTGGAGAAGAACCCTGAAATCTAGCAAGCCATCACCTCTCAAATATGGATAATTTATAAATCTATTTAAAAATGCTGTTTTCAAATGCCTGGCAGAGTTGTCTTTTTTTTTTTTTTTTTTTTTTTTTTTTTTTTTTTCTCCTTTTCTTTCCCCACCCCAAAAAAAGCTTTTTTTTTTTTTCCCTTTCTTCCCCCCCCCCACAAACTAACTGGCCAAAGGTTCCTCCCTACCCAGCAGCTCAGCTCAGCCGGCTGTGTGCTTCCTAATTCTGGGTTCAAATCAGCAAATGGAGAGCAAGCAAACAGCCCAGCAGTCACTACTATAATTGTGAATGTATATAACAACCCAGTTTTTGATAACACAACTACATACTATTTTTTTCTCTAGAAATGCTTCATTAATTTAGTGCTTATAAGAGGTCTGCTCTAGGGATGAATCTGAATTTTGCATTAAAGCAAGCTGCCTTCTGTCATTTTTCAAAAAAGTTGAAAGACTTCTGTAACAAAAGGGACTATATGAAGCATGATTGAAGCCCCTGGTGTACCAGACTCCCTGCAGCCTGCAAGTTATTAGGTGAATGCTTTAACCAACATTTTCAACAAGCTGGACACCAGTAAAGTGCTTCTAATTTTCTTTAGAGCTTAGCATCTGACTTGCAAAGATGTAATGCATGCAAATGTGTTCTTTGAAACTATAGTATGCTTCAGGGGTATCTTAAAATTTAGGTTACTAGCAACTCAAACTGCTTGTCAAAAACCAGTAGCTTCAGCTTTCTGCCTGTAAAATGGACACAATAAATACACAAATGAGTTTGAAAACACAGTCGCTGATAACTGTGGATACTCAGACACTACACTAAAAAGCACCTTAAAAGTGCCCCTTACTTTTTCTTTAGAAAAATGTTCAAATAGTGTATGATAAATAAAATAAGGGTCTGCAACATGAGGAATAACACAGAATACACAAAATGTCAAATAACTTCTTTAAAACTGAGCAACCTCAGTTTACACATTATATAAAATAAGGACTCTAGGGGTTGGAGGAAGTTGTTGACCAAACTATGATTGCCTGAAAATGCATGTGCACAAGAAATCTGAATTAAGGTTACATAGGGTCCCTCACCTTGGAAGCTAGAAAAAAACATGTAAAACCATGTAATAGGCACTAAGGGGTGAATCCTCTTCCACCTCCAGCTAGATTTATGGCCACTGGGTTAAAATCTTCATCCAGAAATGTACCTCAAGCTCTTTGAGTTTGCCCAGGCTCTTTGCAGTAACATTACCAATATTCTTTCTGCACAGAGGATCTATGGTTTTCTTTGATGCAGCAGATGTGCCAACAAGATTATCTGCACTAGCTAAAAATCATCCTCTAATTCTAACCTGTATCTTTCAAAGTTTAACAGTTCTTTTCCATTTTGAAGCAAGAAATAACACTTCTTCTGGAGAAGACAATTATTTCCACATTGTCTCTAACTGCCAAAAGTGGCCGAGCATTGCACAAATCCCAATGCTCTACAAATTGTTCCAAATGCTTCAAGCAAAGTTACAACTGCTTGATCATATAAAATATTCCACGAAGCTGAGGAATCCACAACTCACTATCGACACAATTGGTTAGCCTCCACCATCACTCTTTGTCTTGTTTTCACCGGTGTGCGGTACTGAAAAGATCTCTCCACAGTAATCCTCTCATTGACCTTTCTACGGCATAGTTGTTCTAGAAATAGCAAGGTGTTTGAAGTCAAAACACCCAGTGCTTAACATCAGTATGTAGAGTTGAATGAAGATTATAAACGTATTCCCACACGTATTCCTTCAAATGGAAAGATAAATTGCCCTCAGCTGTGCTCACAACACTTCTGTGTTTGCTTTCCACAGGTATTCAGTTTTCTT